AAACACTGCATAATCTCAACTTTCCAACAGAACCTCTACCCAATGGACCTGCGAAGTAAACACAAGGTTCTAGGTAAATCCACCCATAGAATACGTCTGCCACTCACCCGCTCCATGGGGACAGAAATAGACCAGAATGGGCGGCGCTGCCAGCGCATAGAGAAACGCAAGAACAGACCGTGCAGGTCCAAACTCATGAATGACATCAAACCATTCCAACAACCAAGACGACATCCACTTCTTCCAAAAGACTCAGAGAAAGAGTGGGATGGAGACGAGGAAGATGAGCAGAAGAAAAAGGCGAAGAAGATGAGAACAAACGAAGAAAACACAACAGAAGTGCACCAGGACATTCCAAGTGGTAGGTGTTGTGTGGCATCAATGCGACAACTGTTGCTAAGATACTCTGCGAAGAACATATTCAGGGGTCATGAGGGCCATTATGAAAAATCATGCCAGATATCTCTGAATCACTGTGACAACTGGCCAACACGTGTTTAATGTGACTGAGAAATACTCAGCTGTGAAAATTCTCCCAAAAATGACAATGTAGCATGTCATTCCAATGATACTTTGTCCTCTGCAAAACGCTATAAGTAGTTTTGTTTTAGTAACTCTCTTTCATACAATGAAAGTGAATGACCATCAAACATAAAAACTGGACCAAAAACACACCATAAATGCATCCCATACGAAATTTGCCAAAAATCGAAAGTCTTCTGAAGCCATTTCACCTTTTGTGTGAGGAATGACTCATTTAAATAGTCGAAAATCTATTTAACCCTCCATTATAGCACTCGAATCTCATTCAAATACATTTAAACTTGCCATTTTAAGACATTTAGTTGTCATGTTTGATGTCAGAGATGTTGAACATTGGTTCTTACGTCTTGCGATTGATCGTCATTGATGTAAAACCAAACGTGACGTGAGATTTTCAGAGCTGTGTTTCCCAAAATCATCATAAGCCTAAGTAGATTGTGGAGACCATTGGTGCCAATGGTTTCTACAATCTATTTGGGCTTACGATGCGTTTGGGAAACGCAGCCCAGGTCGATTTGCTTGTCATTTTATAAAATACATTTCACAAAGTAGTCCATACGACTCAAGCATTTCCAATTCTTTTGAAGTTACACGGTAGAAACAAAGTGATATTTATAGTTATTCACCAAAATCTTCCTTTCTGCTGTAGCTTTTCGAAGGCCCTTTTGCATTCGAGTACATTCAAACTTGCTTTTAAATATGCATCACAGCAGGTTTTAAGTCAGTGAAGATTATTGAGGCTAAAAGTTTTTTGACATATCTTGAAGCAAAGTAGTTCATATGTGTTTGGAACGAATTTAAGGTCACTAAATAACTTTCTGTTTTTATTGAACAATTTCCTTGAACGTTCTGTCGTTTTCCGTCAGGTCAAGAGATGTCGGAGGGGTACAACTCTTCGGCAGAACATGAAGCTGTAATCACTATCAAGGAAACTGAGAACTGCTCTTCCATTTTTGACCATGCCGAGAAGCCAAGAGAGGATACAGGTCCAGTTTTAGGAGCAACAGTAAACAGTACAATCACCAACACACAAGAGAACGAGCCAGTTACAAACACTGCAGGGGATGAGGACTCTGTACGGGTATCACATGACACAACAAACACTGACCAATCACTACACAACAGCACCAAGTCAGGAGCCGAGCAAGGTGTGTTTGACAAAGTACCGGACAGACCTTCGGTTATCGAGGTACATTCAAGCGCTAAATGTAGACAGGACGAGGTAAGTGAAAGGGGCGAGCTAGACAGGTCAGAGACCAAAGAAAAGGAAGGGATGGATGCTGTTGTTACAGCAGAATGCACAACAACACTACAGGTCCCAATTGACCAGTTGCAGACTCCCACCACCACCGCAGTGCATCCTGGGAAAGTCATTGTGACTCAGGTGACGATAAATACCTTGACCGTCACCTTCAAAGAGGCCATGAGTGCAGAAGGCTTTTTTAGTGGCTATGGGCTCTAGGTGTAAGTTGACAAAGGAACCCAGGAACATACAATAGATTTATGTACAGTTAGCCAGGACCAAGTGAATAATACAGTTTGCAGTAGTGAAGCAGATATTGTCTAAACAAGGTAAAGACATCAACAAGGTATTTGTTTTCTTCAGTTTGTCATTGTGGTTAAATAACCGTTGAAGGACGACATTTCTGATTATATTCAGTGATGCTGTATGCAAAGACTTTATCTCTGTGTCTGTACCACTACTTTTCCATCAGCAGCAGTCATTGACAATTACTTGACGAAGTCACTGACATAACAATGAGGAGAAACTGTTTTTCAGTTCCGACTTCGAAGACAAAACTACTGTTCCATCGCCTCTTTTGTCCTGTAAACAAACCAGGTGGGAAAAGGAAAGGCCACCTGGCTTTGTTTCCATATCTGCACCTGAGCTGTCTTCGCTCTGTTCGGAGGCCTTTGTGCATTTTTAAAGAGACAGTATTGGTTTACATTCACAACTGATGCACTGGACGCTTTCGTAGGGGTAGATCCTGTTCATCTGAACACATGTGCTTTAGGTGTGCTTTTAGCATGGCAGAAATCAAAGCCGAGCCTAAATTACATGTATTGGTCGTGGTGATAATTGAACTTGGCTTGTCAGCTCTGTTGTTGCACTCACATGTGACAACTACACTTTTTTGCTTGTATTTACAGCAAATAAATGGAAATTGTTGGGAGTTGTGGGTGATTTTAATTTATTTTGGACATTTATTTTTTGTGCGTAAGCCAATTTGTGCATCAGATTAAAATATATACTGATATATAGTGATTTGCAATTGTAACTTAATACCCTGCAATTGCAAGACAGTTACAGTTGCTGTGTACTATGAAATATTAAGTCATATTTACAAGAAACCGTTGCAATTATGAGATATAAAGTTACAACTGTTGCAACTGGAGAATTGCAATTACAAGATATAGTCACAATTATGAGACAGGAAGCTGCTTTTTGTTCCTTTTTTTTTTTTTTACTGTGAGGCAGCTTCTTAAAATGTATTTAATGAAGTCTTCCAGAGAGTAGTGTAATAAATAATCCTTATTACACGCTCTGGAATACTCAAACAGCTAAAGTACTGTCGGCCAGTCATTGTCACAAAAACCCAGGAGGAGAATCTGAAGATGATATTCTCTATAGTCAATTGAATCAGGTAAATGTTGTAAAATACTAGTCAAAAATTATGAAACATCATAGACCAATAGTACAAAGTCATATTTGCTGGCCCTAAAGAAGATTCTTAAAGGGATAAAAAAAACAAATCCATAATGAAAATTAATCCCAATTCGACGTACGTTCACGAGAGTACCATGACGCATGTGTGTGGTGGTGCTGAAGCAGGAGCCGGCACTCTGACGTAGAACCTGTTTGTAAAGAGAGGACTGCACACGTATGCGTCATGGTACTCTCGTGAACGCACATCGAATTCTGACATGAAGAAATTGAAGTCAATATTTTTGTTTTCCAGCACACAAAAAGTATTCTCGTAGCTTCATAACATTGTGGTTAAACCACTGATGTCACATGGACTATTATAATGATGTCCTTACTACCTTTCTGGGCCTTGACCATGGTTAGTACCCTTGCTGTCTATGGAGGGTAAAGAGAGCTCTCAGATTTCATCATAAATATCTTAATTTGTGTTCTGAAGATGAACGAATGTCTTAGAGGTTTGGAAAGACAGGAGTAATTAATGACAGCATTTTCATTTCTGGGTGAACTAACCCTTTAACCACTCAGGGAAAGCCACACTTTTACCAGGGCAGTCTACAGTTCCCTTTTATCACCTCTAGGATGATTTGCAGGAGCAACAGGTTCTTCAGCATTGATGATGACAGCTGGCTGATGAGTCAACTATGACCAGCCTAACAGCCCGTATTAACACATTTAACCAAACAAACCCAAATCCAAGAGCACTGCCATTCTGCCAGAAGACAGTGTATCTTTTTGAGTCAAATAAAGAGATAAAAGATTAAAGCAGAAAGGCAAATGGTTAAAAATGGCAATCTTTAAATGATCCTCAAAAACAAATGACCAATAAATGAATTTTGTTATCTTCATTTTATTAAAAAAAAAAAAAAAAAAAAAAGTATTAAGTCCACAGTTGTGTTTCCTTTGTACAGTACAAAATATTCAAATAAAACTCCCAAAGTTCAGAGCAAAGAAAATTCTGGAAGTGGAGGAAAAGTAGGAGTGGTACTGAAGGAGGATGAAAATGGTCAAATCAGTGGCTCGCCTCTCCTTCTCCATCGTTTCACTGCTCCATACAGTTCATATGTGAAACTCTGCTCAATATGATATTGGCGAGAGCAGAAGAACTCCGGCACCACATCCAATACATACATACACACACACACACATATATACACAAAACTTTCATCCAACCAGTACAGACACCTCCACTATCCAGTAAGTCTTATAAGGAGTGCACAAACATTCTGAGGGTGGGTGTGTGCGTCTAAGAACTTGTCCTGTTGCAAAAGAAGTGAAGTCCAATGGAATTTCCAAAATGGCATGAAATGAGATCCATTGGGCAGCGGAGGTCACACCAAACCCGATCCCCCAACACTGTAATTTATATTATACTAAATAACCTAAATCTCCAGCTTAAGTAAAGGAATAGCTCCCCATTTTAATAGGTATTAACAAAAATATATTCTATGTGAACTGTAGCAGTCTCTGGGAACACACATGAACAAAATCCATCATGACAACAAATGAAAAAGCTAGAATAAATAAAATTCAAAACTCAACATTTACAAGGAAGATATGCATGATGTTCCGATAATTATAATAATATAGGCATCACAACGTTTGAAATGTTCCATATGACTCTGTAAAACACATAACAGAGACTGGTACGTGGTGAAACAATATATAAAAAAAGTCCTTAATCATTTGCGCTATAATTTTATACCACTTTTAAAATCTTAAAAAATATCTCTTGAAAAAGGAAAAGTACTCCCCTGGACCTGACGTTGAAAATATTACTTGTGGTTTGTTCTCTGAGGCTGAGAAACAATCCTCTCTTTGTACACAACTGGCAAAAGAAAAAAAAAAACACCCCCGATACTTATTTGCTATCTCTCTATGCGGGTCCATTTTCAAAGCATTTATGATGAAAAACACTAAACTCATCCTTGTAGTATAAAAAAAAATCTAACACTGTCTCTGGTGAGGTTTTGTGAATTCCATAATAGCTATATGATGTCTAAAGGGTTATTCATGTTAATGGCAAGGTCCTGGCCACTAGGGGGCAGCATATCATTAGCTCCAGGTCCGTGGAGTCCTGCCAAGCCACTGAGCTGAGACAGCATGGTGTTCTGATCTGCACCAAATCCACTTGGGTCCTTAGAGTTGTGCTGTGGCTGTTGGGGAGGTGGAGGAGGTGGAGCCATGCCTGAGTGATGCTGCTGAAGGTGGCTAGGATGCGGAGAACCCGTTTGGGTCTGAGGCGAGATGTGGTGGGGCGAGGGCTGTGGTTGCAGGCGCGGGGATGGACTTGAGTGAGGTGGCTGGGACTGGGGTCGCGGGGAGGGCTGGGGGGAACAGACCTGGTTGCTGAGGGTGGATGGGAGCTGTTGGCCCTGCAAGTGGGGCGATTGAGACATCTGATGCTGCTGCGGGCTCATGGGGTTGTTCTGCTGTGCCAGCGAGGTGCCACTGAGATGTTGCTGCTGTTGAAGCATACGCTGATGCAAGGCCTGTTGCAATAATGCCTGTGATGTCTGAAGACTGGGACCTCCTTGCGTGGGCTGTGGACCTCCTCCGTGCCCCACATCGGGACCTTGCGATGCCGCATTCTGCTGCTGTTGCATCTGTAGCTGGTGATGCTGTGCAAGCCTCTGTTGCAAGGCAGCTGCAGCTTGCTGTTGCGCAGGGTTGCCTGGAAAACTCTGCTGCTGGCCAGGTTGCACACCTTGTAGCGGTTGACCACCTGGCGGGACTTGCATGTTACCCTGCTGACCCATGTAACCTTGCTGCTGTTGGAATGCTGCGTGATTACTTATTTGTTGCTGCTGCTGCTGCTGCTGTTGTTGCTGCTGCAACTGTAGTTGCTGTTGCCTTCTCATGACCAGATCTCTAAACTGTGGATTCATGTTGGCCATGTTTGGAACCCCCTGACCCTGAATTCCTTGCTGTTGCTGCTGCTGTTGTTGTTGCTGCTGCAAGGCAGCAACTTGCTGCTGCTGTTGCAGCTGCTGATGCTGCTGTTGCAGCTGCTGCTGCTGCAATAGCGGCCGCTGTTGCATTTGCTGCTGCTGTTGGAGTTGAGGAAGTTGAGTCTGCATGTTAACACCCTGTCCAAGGTGCATGCCAGGCTGGGTCACCCCAGTACTGACACCCACTGGCTGGCCTCCCATAGGTCCTGGCCCACCCTGTGGTACAGCGGGGCCACCTGTACCTCCTTTATACTTGTGAACCCGCTGCTTGATAAATGCTGCCATTAGTTGTGGGTTAGACCGAAGAATATTGAGGACTTGCTGCTGCTGTAGAGGAGAGCTTGGAGATCGCAGGGTCCGCAAAAGATCCTGCAGGGCTCCCTGAGGCAGATTTCCAGCTGCTGCCCCACTTGCTATGCCACTCTGCAGACCAGCCTGCACCATACTCATCAAGGCGTTTCGATTCAGCATTTGGGGTGCTTGCTGTTGTTGCATTTGTTGTGGTTGTTGCTGTTGTGGTTGTGGTTGTTGCTGCTGCTGCTGCTGCTGCGGAGGGGGCTGCATTGCGACCATTCCCGGTTGAGCCATCATGGCAGGTCTCTGCTGGGTTGGCATACCCTGCCCCGGCCACTGTTGCTGCTGAGGCTGAAGTGGTGGGTTCATTCTCGGCTGCTGTAGATGCATTTGCGGTGGCATCTGGCCTTGCACAACTGTCTGTTGGGGTTGCTGCTGCAGCTGCATGGGCCCAGCTCTGACCATCATTCCCTGAGATCCTTGCTGCTGCTCCATCTGCACTCTGTTCGCTGATGCTTGTGCCTGCGAGGCTATTCCTTGTGGCCCTACCATGCCAATCCCAGGGTGGGCTACTCCCATCTGTCCCTGTGGCTGCTGATGGTGCTGCGGCATCATGCCAGCTTGCACAGCCTGCCTTTGTAGCATCTGAACCTGTGCCATCTTTCGCTGTGCATCTGCCACTTGCTGGATCTTCATGGCTATCTCCACAGCTGCAGGTGGAGGACCTGAAAGTTGCTGTTGCTGGGACATAGGTGCTGTGCCTGGATTGCTGGGGAGTTGAGGAGGAGTTGCAGGACCAAGGCTTGGCTTACCCTGCGACTGTGGATTTGGGGAGGGACCTGTGGAATGGGGACCATATTGATTGTGTGGATGCGAGAGTTGTCCCACAGGTTGTTGAGGAACCATTTGTTGCTGCGGTGAGGTCATCGTTCCGCCTGCACCTGGCATCTGCTGAAACTGGTGGTGGACGGGATGCTGAGGAGGCTGCTGGGGAGCTCCAGCTGGGACTCCACCCACACCAGGCTGGGGCAGAGACGTATGGTTGGGTGTCAGCTGTGTGGGCGTCTGAGGGGTTGCAGGTTGCGTACCGACCGAAGTAGGTGTGCTAGGACCTGTGGCCCCATTATTGCCGGGGGATGGAAGACCTCCAGGAGGCCCACCGCCACATGGTGGTGGCTGCCCTGCTCGCTGCATGGTGGCCATACGTCTACGCAGCATTTGCGCTTGGTAGCCTAGACAGTCAAAAAACATTGATCTTAAGCATTACGTTATAATAATTAGATTTTAAGAATACATATTAAAGCAGCTGCACTAGAATTAATTTTACCATCAAGTCAGAAACAAGAAAGCACAGTAGCTGTCTAAAAGCCCAAAGGATGTGTTCAGTTTTTCTAGAAGCACTTTTTAAAGTCACTTAGCTTACACAACAAATGTTTTCCTTTGGCACTTGAGTATGTTTTTCCCCCAGTACAAAATGGTTACAAATCTGAGTCAATCACTCACGTCAATGCTCTCACTAGAGGTGTTGTTTTCCTCTCTCTTCCGTTCTTCCTCCTCCTGTTCCAGCTCTTTAATGCTCTCCTCCAACACATTAGGCCAGAAATCACCCTCAAAATATGGGAGCTCCTTCGCACTGGTCAGACGATCCTCTGTTGCCTGCTTAAAAATGTCCTGGGTGAGGAGAAACATGCAATAGTTAGCGAAGTACTTCAAATAGATAACACATTGCTGTCAACAACAATCCAAACAAGGGAAAAGACTATAGTGCAGTATGCTAATTATTGTCAGCCGAAGTACAGCTGTCACAGTACCTTGTAGTCGTGTATAATTCTCTCAGCTACTGCTTTGTCAAGCATCTTCTTGTACCATTCTTGTAGGCGTTTAGGTTTGGGAATCTTCTGATCCGATGGATGGCAGTGGAAGATGTAGTCGTCACCTTCACTTGGAGGACAAGCCCAGATGTGGCCAGTGACAAACCCCATTTTTTTAACATACTCCAAGTATCCAATCAGGATCTCATGATAGACTCCGGTTCTCAGGTGACGGGGTTGGAAAAAGTGCACGCTGTCAAGGTAGGAGATGTACACACGTCTGCATGGAGATAGAGAGAAAGAGAGACAGAGGATATTGCTAAGTTACTTGTGTTTCTCAGACCCTCTTGTAATGTTATCCACATGAGGGAAATTCTGTGTGTGCCTGGAGATGTGTGACTGTCTGTCTTTGTTATTTTTAACCTTTGATTGGGTGGAGGGCAGTCGGAGCTGTATTCTTGCACATGCATTCCAAAGAAGCAGACATCTGTCCCATCAATATCTTCAAATGCAAACAGAGCTTTTGTCCTGTATGGGAATGACTCTGACATCTCTCCGCTATCAACAAACCTGTAAAAAGACAGTAAATTCTTTAGATCTTTTCATGGTGTCCATTAAAATTCTCTTTTTTTTTTAAAGGAATTTTTAATTATTTGTACAGTTAGTTTCAGAATCAAAGTTCCATTCATCAATCCACTTAGCAATACCAGAGTTTGTGTAATATATTGATCCAATGTTGTTTTCTCATCCTCCTAAAGGCCTTTCAAAGTCAAAACACCTTGAAGTCATTCAATGGCTATTTACACAACCGACTGAAAATGCAAACCTTTTGTCCTGTATGGGAATGACTCTGACATCTCTCCGCTATCAACAAACCTGTAAAAAGACAGTAAATTATTTAGATCTTTTCATGGTGTCCATTAAAATTCTCTTTTTTTTTTAAAGGAATTTTTAATTATTTGTACAGTTTCAGAATCAAAGTTCCATTCATCAATCCACTTAGCAATACCAGAGTTTGTGTAATATATTGATCCAATGTTGTTTTCTCATCCTCCTAAAGGCCTTTCAAAGTCAAAACACCTTGAAGTCATTCAATGGCTATTTACACAACCGACTGATGGTGAGGCAATGCAATCATGTTCAAAGTTTAGAACAATTTTACTTTATGCAAATGAGCAACAAATCAATGAGACTGACTACCAATGTGAGTGAAAAAGACATCCCAAAATGCAACAGTAATGCGTGAGCAGTCTCCTCCGAGATCTTGTACTTGAGTGCAAGCAAGATAAAGATGTTATTGTTTACTGCAAGCAATTCATCTGCCCATATACATCAATATAATAAAAAAAATATATGGAAAAGCGTGGTCATTCCAAGAGAGTTTGATTCATACAATATAATAATCGTTCATGTTCATGATAATCGTTCAAGTGCATTCGATGAATTATATAGTTCTGCAATTTCCTAAGAAATAGGCTACTTCACCTCAAAATTAGTTCTTGACAAAATAAAGCCTCTTAATTTTAACATTTATGACCAGATGCTACGGAAGGCCACCAATAACATTCAAAGACGAACAGTGTTATTATTATTAACTAAAACTGAAATTAAATGTTTGAATTGAATGTTTTTCAATTGAAAGAAAGATAATTTAAATACAAATACAGTATTAGATGAAATATAAACTTCAAAACAAAGTAAAATGCAATGCTGCCTTAGCAACTAACAGAAATACCATTAAGTTTTGACATTACTAAAACTGAAATAAAATAAATTAAAACTAAATAGAAATATATAAAAAAGTTAAGTCACATAAAATGAGTTTAAAACAAATTGAAATTAAAACTGAAAATATAAAAATAAAAGGTAATCTAAAATTTGAATAATATCAATATCATATACAATAATACTAAAATAACACTGGCTAGGGTATACAGTAGTATAAATGCCTACTTCAAACAACAATACATCTACCAGATGGTCTTCAATGATAAAATCATTGTGTGAACAATTATCATTAGTTTTACCATCAGTTCAAGCCCGAAAGGGGAACAGAGTCGCGTGACAGACACAGTGATGAAGCTGGTATGTGTTTGCAGTACACAAGCCACGGTTAAGACAGCGGACTCCACTGTGATGTGACCCTGTCTCTCTCTCTCTCTCTCTCTCTCACACACACACACA